CGGCGGTGTCCTTTCCTCCCCCCGCCAGCGCCACGGTAGCAGACGGGACCGGCTGCCCCTCGCCGGGGCCCTGCAGAGGGGGGAGGACCACCGCAGCAGCGGTCAGGTCCCACCTGCCGACGCCCCGTGTTGCGCGATGAGGGTGCGGGTGCCCGGCCCTACTGATCTCCCCGCCTGCCGTCCCCCAGCAGATGCCCCGTTGCCCATCCCAGACCTCCCCCCTCGCACCGTGCCTGGCGCTGAGCCTGCCCAGCACGACGGGCATGTCCTGACCTCGCGCGCTTGAGATGGCGGCTGTCCAGAGCTTCGGTGCCACCCGCCCCGGCGACCCCGAGCCCGGGGACCTCATCGAGATTTTCCGGCCGGCTTATCAGCACTGGGCCCTCTACCTGGGCGACGGGTACATCATCAACGTGACGCCCGTAGGTAAGGCTGGCGCAGCCCGGCGGGGCGCAGAGGGGGCTTTGGGGTCACCCAGGAGCCCGGTCTCCCTCCGTGGGCTGGTAGTGGACCCTGTGTGCGTAGATGGCGTTTCCAGGAGGCAACCAGAAACCCCTCTGAGGTCTTGGAGGGGCCAGACAAGGGCCCGCCTGGCTCATCCCATCCCTACCTTCCCCAGATGAAGGGCCGCCAGCCACGCTCGCCAGCGCCAAGTCAGTGTTCAGCAGAAAGGCCCGGGTGAGGATGCAGCTCCTGAAGGACGTGGTGGGAAATGACACCTACCACATCAACAACAAGTACGACGGCACCTACGCTCCCCTCCCGGTGGAGGAGATCATCCAGCGCGCCGAGTACCTCATTGACCAGGAGGTGTCCTACGACCTGCTCGGCAACAACTGCGAGCACTTTGTGACGCTGCTCCGCTACGGTGAGGGGGTCTCCGACCAGGTAAGTAACACGGGGTAAGCCCCTGCGTGGCTCCCAGTGCACCTCCTTGCTTCTCTGTGTGAGCTCCTGGACCAGGGCACAGCCTGCAAACTGCATAGGGACAGCAAAGCCCCAGGCACAGGGTCCAAACCATCACTGCCAGAGACCCTGGACCAGGAGGTTCGCTGTAGTCTGTCTGCACCCTGATAGTGCTCTCTTACTGAATACCACAGCCTAAGGGTGAAAGCCTGGGTGTTACCCCTTCTGCTTATGGGGCAGGTGTCTCTCATTCATTTAATTGCCTTGATTATCCCTGCCTGTTCTTCATTAGCTTGCCTGGGGGTTAAAAAAAAAATAAAATAAAGCTCATCATGTTTCCAGCCTGTGTTTTATTTCCCCTTTGCAGGCCAAGCGAGCGATTGGTGCCATTGGATTTGTAACAGCTGCTGCTGGTGCCTTCTCCTTGCTGGGCTTGCTCCATAGCAGAACCAGAGAGAGACAGTACTGATGGCCCACTGGGACAAGCTCAGAGCAGAGCAGGGGACCCCCCAGCTGGGAGGGACCCAGGACAGTTTGTGGCCACAGCTGCCACTGAGACTTACTAACAACTGCGTAACCCTTGCTGAGAGCAGCACTAGCCTGTTTGCCACATCTGCTTTTATTTTATTGCCTGTGATGATTTTTCTGGTAGTCTGGGAGCACTTGCAAGCAAATTCTGTATCCTCACCCCCGCAGTGCTCTGCTGAGGGCTGGCACAGGCTTTTTACACACATCCTCTGTTTATCAGCTACATCCTGTGGGCTCTTTCTGTGAATAACCTATTTTAACCTTAACATTTTTACTTTGGGTTTTTTTTTTAAATCAAAAGTAATATAAAAGTATTGCTGAGGGTTTATTGCGTGTCCTCCAGCTGAGGGTCTGTGCAAGTGGGAAACCCCAGGTTCTCAGGCCTGTGAAAGGGCAGACAAGGCATGTACTGTGTCTTGGAGCCTGTGCCAGCTGTGCCTAAACTGAGCTGCTCCTGCGAGGGCAGGAGGTAGGAAGGAAGGGCACGCCTTGCAGATTGTATCCCTCAGTGTTTTAAATGAGTGCTCTGGTTTTGGCACAATGGTGTTTTGCTCAGTTTTCTCCTGCCTGGAAAGCGTCCCTTTCCCTGGCTCCTCTGACTCCCTTTGGGAGCAGCAGACCCCCAATCTGGGGACATCTGACAAAAAACCGAGCTAACTTTTTCTCTGGCTTGTTCCAGATTGGGGCTACTGTACCACTGAAATTTCCCTCTTCATCTCTGTAAATGTAGTAATTGTTGGCACTGGACCTGACCAAGCTTACTAGGTGATCTTTAAGGTCCCTTCCAACCCAAACCTTTCTATGATTTTAGTCCTTGAGCTGCCAAAGCACTGAGGTTTAAAGAAAGACCACCATGGATTGCACGGGTAGCCACGAGCCTTTGTCCCCTGGAGCTGTGGCCATTGGCTCTTCAGTGACCAGAAGTTGAATTTAAGCAGTTTGTAGCCCCAGCACAAGATCGATCTTCCTCTAGCCAGCAGGAAGGCAAAGCCAGGGTCCCTGCATTGCTGTGGGCGATGTACCTGGAAAACGACCTGTGCAGCACCTACGCCCTATCTCCAAATCTACAGAACCCCACTATTTCCTTGTCACAAAGCTGACGCGTGGCTTGTCTTAGAAGAAAACTGGTTTGGAAAAGTGTGGTTTATTACTCTTTACCAGGAATATCTGGCTTACGTGTTTGGAACCATGTTATTTGCAGACTGTGTGTAAGTAATTAAATCCTGTGTTGCTTTTGCCACAGGCGACTGCCTGGACTGTAAGAAGAGACGAGAGTAAAAGAGCTGCCTGTAAGAGGCTTGCTATTTTTATCTGCTCTTAACATGTACATAAAGTATCAGAAGGTTTTTTTAACACCAGTTGTTTCAGTGTTTGAAATAACAAACCCAAGACTTCTGGTCCTATTTTGTAGTGCCCTCTGTTATTACATTTAAATAAAGTTCTTTTTTTAATATGAGAAAATATAATAAAACTAAACCTGAAAGTCCTTTTTTGCTTCCTGCAAATGTAATCAAAAGTTCTTTCATGGCTAAACTAATTAGGTGGTTGAACAACTTGAAGATGAAAGAGCAAGTATAGAGGGGCTCAGCTTCTCGTACCTGTCCAGCAGCCACATGCTAGAGCACATTAAAACCCCTGCTTCTTGGCATGACCTAGTTAAAGCAAGCAGCCAAGGCTTAGCTCTGCTTTCTGCCATGTGACACAAAACCTGGGCCAGGACCTGGCAGCGGCAAAGCATGAATCGGGGGTGGGGGGAGTCACGTGTGTGTGTGTGCAGCAGCTGTAGTGTCCCCTTGTCTTTGCAAGCTTAAGTGGGGCATATCCTCGCCAGCCTTCCCAGCCTGCTGTTACAGCAATCTGTGAGCTTTAACATTCCCTGTACTCAGAGCATTACGTCTGCCAGAACTGGCAAGGGAGAGCTGGGCGAGGGCAGCGTATGCACCCTCTCACATCTATAATTCACTCTGGGATGCAAGAAAACTGGAATTACTTCATCTGGGGAACTTGTAGTTCGTGGAAGCTGCAGCATTTAAACACAGGATTTTGCAATTGTACATGTGCTCCTCTGTGTGGTCAAGGTTAGGTCGCTTATTTTGGATTGCCTTCCCCTCAAGCCTGGTGGGTGCATTGACGGGATTTGGTGGAGCAGTGACTGAAACATGGAGTAAGAGTGTGATGTGGAGCAACAGAAGCCATCACTTTGCTGTATTCAGTATTTCTGAGCCTTTGTAGGAGATGTTGGCCAGGCCCAAGACCTGCTGGTGCCATAGAGTCGAGTCAAGGCTGTTATTTTACCAGCAGCAGAGAGAATAATCCTTGCTTGTGCTCCAAGGCAGAGCCAGCACAGGCCCAGCCTGCCCCTGAATGGATGGGTTTGTGCAGGGATTTCAAACATCTGAATCTGGTGCACATCAAATGATGAAAACACGGGCTGTTCAGTGCAAGCCAGGAAGCTGCCAGCTCTGTGCAGCCCTGTGCCTGGCTGCAGGGTCTTGCTTAGTCCTCGTCGCTGTATTTGTATGTGGGGTTAACGTAAACCTCATCAGTGCTTTTTGCTGCAAAGTCTTCTGCATTTACAGGAGGCCAGTTGGGATCCCTCTTCAGGATCCTCTGCCATTTTCGGTACTGGCTGTTTGACTGGTACCTGAAACAGGATTTAATCAGCAGCCAGAGGTGCTTGTTCTGCAAGATAACGTCCTGCGGAGTGACATGGCACAGGGTCAGTGCTGTTGCCCTTCACTGGAAGGGAAGACTGCTTGGGGACAAAAGCAATCCCTTGCTATGTGTGCAACGCCCCTGAGCCCCATGGTGCTGGGAGGCTGCGTGCACTCCCCTTCAGTAACACAGCTGTCAAATGCCACTGTCCTCATCCACAGAAAGGCTCTGCTCAGTGTCCTGATATGGGACAACACTGATCTCAGTCTGTTTAGCTGAAGGGGATAATCAAGGGGCAAGATTTTCCTCCTGGGGCTGTGGGACAACCAGGCACTGCTGCTCCTTGCAGGGGACAATACCGGGTGCTGGATACAGCCAGCCTTGACCCACAAAACACTTTAGGGCTTAGTCATTACTGCAATATCCAATGGCACAAGCCAGCGCAGCCTCTGGCCTGGTCAACTGTAGGACAAGAGGGACGTGGTTGTTTCAAAATCACTGCCAAGTGCATGACCCGTGCTGCGGTCTGCTCCCCTGCGAGCCAGGGCAGCGGGCTCCTCCGAGGCAGCTGCACTTAAGATTTTAGAGAGGGAATGAGCTGAAAAGATGTAGTCTAAAATCATCTCTGAGGCTGCATAAAATGGATTTGACTGATACACATTGAGTCTTCAGGAAAAAAAAGGCCTGAGGGTTTATGCTTCTGCAGGAGGAGCCCGTGGCTGCAAATGGGGTAGAAAGACATGAGCAGACACTGCTCCTGTTCTCCCCAGGGAACAGGTGGTAAACAAACGCACTCACCTCTGTAAAAAAAGATACACAAAAGGTGACCAAGAGCATCAGTAAGACGTAAACTCTCCAGATCATAGGAGTGTAAAGAAACTGTTGGAAAAGACACGAACAGCAATTAGGTTTAAATGCCTTGCCAAGATTTGCATCTGTTCCTAATGATTTGAGAAGCTGACTAATGTTTTCCCAGTGGCAAGCATGGAGGAGGCAGTAGGAAGTGACAGTAATTCGCTGTCACAGAGATCTTGGAAGGTTTGATGCCAGATTCCCCATGGCATGGAGCTGCCTAAATCATCTTGGCTACTTAAGCTACTGCTGAAACTTGCAGATCACGTGCCTGGGGCAGGATCTGGTGCCCAAATACTTCTGGGGAGCTGCAACTAATGCACAACCTGCGGCTCCTCTCCCACTGTGTATGCCCACCTTAACACCAGGACTCCACCCGAATCCATCCCATGCAGGGTGACCAGGCGTAAGCCACAGGGCTCAGCCATTCCTGACGTTGGGCAGCACAGCTGGAGGCAGCTGCCAGCACTGTGCCCTGGCTAAGCGCCCAGAGGGCCGAGACGTCCCGGCCCTGCATGAGCTCATGGTGCTCCAGGCAGGGGTAGCAGCAATCCCTGCCCACTCACTTCTCTGGCCAGCAAGCCTCCTCCAACATGCAAAATCACAATCCACCCTATTGTGCTTTTCTGTTAGGAAGAAAAGCTCAGCAAGCTATAAGCGCTTTTTCTTCTCCCGGTTGCTGCCCAGTCTTTAGAGGAGAGGAGGACTACTTCGTTAATCAAGCCCTTGTCAGAAGGATGTTAGAGCCAAGTTTGAAAGGGCTACCCAGTCAGCATCAGATTAGCAAATTCATTTCTAAGGTGACCACAGCTGTAGCTTCTGCTCTGTATGCTTAGGTAAAGGGCCAGCAAAATACATGTTGTGAAATGGAAATGCACTTTTTGTTTGCGCTTACCTGCATGCCGCTGTAAACAGCATCAATGTCAGCGAAGAACAGGAAGAGGCAGATTGCAAGCTGAAGGGCCAGGAGGACTGAAAATAAATCTAGGGAAAGAGCAGCATTTGTGGCCCCGGTAATGAGGGGGGTTGGTGACCAAACTCTGCAAATATGTTGACAGGAGCTAATGCCGTAAAAACTGCTATCAAGTAAAACGCCATTTTTCCCTCCCCCCCGTAAAAGGAGAGCTATGGAATTGAAACTAGGGGAGCTACTCCCCAGCAGCCATGTGATTTGGCATGTTCTGATTCTTATACAACCACAGAAAACTGCCTCGAAGGGGCACTGTTGTGAGCCACACCAGCATCCCTTCCCCTGCGCTTGCTCCTCCACGTGCTCAGCCATACACCTGGACCGCAGGCAGCAGAGGAGGCTGCTTGTTCTTGTGGGCTGTCCTCCCAGGGAGGACCAGATGCTTCTGTGACTGACAGGGTGCAAAGGTGGGCTATAACTGTGCCTTGCACAGGAAGAGTTTGTCTGGCTTTGCATCCTCTTCCGAAGGATCAGGAGGCCACAGAGCAACAGCAAATGGCTCAGATGTCCGGAGGTGCCAAACTCCTGGCAATTACCTGGAGCTGAGCATCTTAAAACTAGCCGGCAAGTTGGGTCAACAGCTCCCAATGGCCTCCTCACTGCTAGGGAGGAGAGGGGACAGGGATGAGTGGGTGTCAAGAACAAGGGAATTGCCCTTTGCTTCCTCCTAGGGATTGTCCCCAAACGGGGATAAAACACAGAGAAGTGTGTGCAGATTTCTCAGCTGACGGAGTCCTCCGTCCCATCTCAGTCTGGCTGCTTGCAGAATGGCTTCTTTCTGGTCTCACCTGTCTTCTGCAGGTGATCAATGCTCTGTGAAATGGGTTTGGGACCTGCCTTTTAACAAAATACCTAACAAAATCAACTCTGCTAAGATGAAGCAAAGTCCTGCCCTCTCATCCATGAGCTGCAATTGCAAGAGAGCTATCAGTCAATCGATGGCTAGAAGGGCTAAATCATCTCTGCAAAATTCAGACAGAAAATAAAAGTTATTGTGAGACGATTTTAACAGTGATATTATCATGGGCTTTTCTCTCTCATCTCTAGGAATGGAAGTCAGGCAAGGTAAAACTGTGAGTCTCAGAGGAAGTCTTTCTGATGTGTGTATTTCAGAACAAATACATCCGATCCTCATACGCTGTGTTCACAATAATAAACAGTTCTGCACTAAATCCAGCCCATCATCTTCTGCAAAGCACGTGTTTTCCAAAACAAGGTGCAGTCTCCTTTCTCAGCTCTGCTGCTTCTCATCTCAAGGAAGAAGCTAAGATAAGCAGTGCTCACTGAGCCCTTTTGTAATGAAGTAGGAGCTCACATACACCAACTATTACTTCACATGCCAGTCACTGGTACAGGTACAGAAAAACCCACAGCATCCCTTCCCTAGCAGCCTTTCCTGCCAGGGTTATTTTGTGGCAGGAACAGGAGTCTGCAGAGAACACGTTACTCCAGCTCTACTCACAGTTGGTGTAGATGGGCTTCCGGAAAGGCTTTCCCTTGGAAAAGACGAAGGCCACAATGATGCAGTTGATAGAAGACAGTGGCCACAGCGTAGTGTCTTCATAACTGAGGACAGTGCTCTGGGCACCACTGCTGGTACTGTTTTCCCCTGGGCTGGTGGGGGACACGGTCTGGTTCCCTGGAGAGCCATATCTGTAAGGTAACACCCAGCATTTTGTTCCTGCTCTCTCCAGCAGCAGTAGGCTGCAAACAGCAATTCCCTCTTCTTTCCACCCCAGCCCACTATCATGACCAGGTATCACCCACAGGAGTAAAAACCATATGTTAAAAAAAAACAACAAAAAAACAAAACCAAAAAAGATCAGCTCAATTTTCTGGTGTGTGCCAAAATCTCTGCTCTCAGATGAGCAACAACAGCAGCGTTTGAGAGACACAGCTAGGAAGATGTGCGTGCCAGGTGCCCGCACACCACTCCGGCACGCTCGCCCTGCGATGCATCCACGCAGCGGCAGGGAAACGACCCTGGCCGAGCGCTGGCATCCAGGAGCATCCCCACTGAAACGCCTCACTGGGCCTCCTGCCCTGCCGGTTCATTTCTGTGTGACGATATGCTGGTCGTTAATATATACTCTTTAACCTATGTATATAATACATGATATAATTCGGCTCTGGAATACGGAGAGAGACATTTTACCTTTCACAGACAGGGAAACGGGCCAGCTCCTGACCTCCCTCGCAACCCTTTAGCTCAGCCAAGTCAGATTCCAGAAGAACCCGGCCCCGGGGCTCTTTATTTCCCCGAGGAGCTGCGCTGCCAGACCCGGGGATGGGTGCCCACCGCAGCTCGGTGGCGCGGGCACGGCCGGTTCTCCCACATCGCCAGATGGGCAGCGCCCAGCGGGCTTCAGGGGAGGCGTTTGAAAAGCACGCGTGTGTCAGCCCTCGGGCCGGCCCTGTGGATTTCAGTGCGGCATCTGCAGCAACTTAATTTGGTCGTGGCAACGCTCTGCTGAGCATACACACGGGGCGGGGGCAAGGGGGGGGGAATTGTCCTGTTGGGGTCCTGCGGTGTGCCCGGCTGCAGGCCACGGCAAGGCTGGAGTGTCCCCCGCACACAGCAGCGACGGGATCTGCAAGCTGGAGATCAGAGACAAAAAGAGGGACTTACCTCTGGCCGGCTAGCACTACATACCAGGGCTGCTGCTTCACCAGAAGGAAGCCACAGGTTTGCATGATTATGGTAAAGCAGACGTTGAGGGTGATGGAGAGCAGCAGAGGAGGAGAGGTGAGCTGGCCGGGAGGGCGATAAGGTGCCAGCTTTGGATAGGCTTCAGTCAAACTCACTGGAGAGAAACCAGAGGCATTTGCAGTCCACGGCAGCCCAGCCCGCCAGCGTCCCTCTGTGTTCGCCGGGCAGAGCCGCGCACACAGACCACCCCGTCTGCTCATCACGGGTGAAAGCTGCAAAGCCTGGCCCTAATAAGCAGGCAAGAAATGGCTTTGATCTCCACTATTTTCCACCTGAACCTTCTCTGAATCCCCCCCTCAGGAAAACACACAGAGAAGATGGGGAGTATTATCCCATCCACAGGGATCTCCATGGGAGTCTAAGAGCTGTACTGAGTCTCACGCTGGGAACACAGAGGAGAGCCAGGACCTGAAGTTAGGCTGTCTGAGCCCCACTAGCAGTTACCGGAGCAACTGCTCCTCTTCCAGTCGAGTCTCATATCCAAACCCTATCAGTTATGTACAGAGTTCTGCAGCTGTGTTTGCAAAGGACTGTGAGCCAATTCCCACACTCTGGGCCCTAGGAATTGGTCTAGCATCAATGGTTATGATGTTACTGACAGCAGAACTTGGCTCCTCATTTTAGTTTTTATTGGGAAATGAAGTCAACTATTTACACTCAGGCTCTTAAACAGACACAGCTTCTCTGAGCTGCTTACTTGTTAGGCAAACCAGAAGGGTAATGATGACGTCTTGTATCAAATACTGGTGAATCCCAAAGATTTGCAGTTGCTGGAACAAAAACAAAGGCAGCAGCACCTGAGAACAGATGACAACTTCAACAACACAAACTGTAACATCTGATGCTATTTCAGAGCAATGTCATGCCAGCAACAGCAGCCTCAGGGCCCTGATGCAACTCCATAAGGACTGGCAAGCCCTGTCAGCCAGGTCCCACTGAACCCCTTACTAATTCATAGCACTTGCGGGTGACCTAACATCTGAATGTGGCATTTGAATGTTTTTCCACCCTTCTTCCAGCAGATACCAATGCTCTTTGGACCACCTAGATCAGGTCACGCACTCCCAGCCCACAGTAACAGCAATGACAGCCAGACTTTCACTTTGTGCCAGGTTTGAAATGTCTTTGGGTAGTGGGGACATGGACAAAGTTGGTGCACCCAAGCTAGTGGCTGGGAAAGCTGTCCCCACGTGGTGATCCACCAGCAGTCCCTGTTTGCCACCAAGCCTCGGCTGTACCTTGCAGATTCACAGCAGCTCACTTTGCTTGAGGTGAGAGAGGTGGCCCAGAGTAAATCCATACATGAATTTCCTTCGCCTTTTTTCTTTTCATGTATTAAAATTTTAGAGGATTCATCACATACTGGTGATATGCAATGGTAATTCTTCTTTAACTACCCTCCTTCATCTGCCTGAGACACCCGCTTCTTTTTCAAGCTTTTTTCCAGCAGAGAGAGGTAGCTGCTCTCCCAAAGCCCCCATTTTACAGTAAGTCCTGCTCCTGGGCCTCCACCGCTCAGCTAGGCAGGACTCACTCCCTTCTAATTCCCTTTCTTCTTTTGGAAGAGATGAAGTTTTATCACTGGGCTTTTTCCCTGATTCCGGGGGTCCCTACAACCAATCTATCCCCTGCTGGTAATTACCCAGCTTTTCACATCTGTTATTCCTTGAAGCCCTATATGCCTTTTCTTCCCTGCCGAGTAATACCACTAAAGATAAAAACCTACAGTGAGCACAGTGTACTGATAAAAGATGGGCATGAAACACTTACCCAAAAGAGTAGAGCGGTACCAACAAACTGAATCAGGCCATAAAGGGTCAGGTATTTAACCACAGCGAAGGAAGCAACCAAAGCAGCTCGACCTTCCCTGCTCAAAACAAAAAACAAAGCTAAAAACCCCACTTACAGCTACAGTGCTATAATTTTAGGTGTATGGATGATTTCTGCTTTTAGGATCTGTGTTTAGGATCTCTAAGAAGAATAGAAAATGGTTCAAATTCCATAGACAAATATTTTGGCCTTAAGATACTGCAGAGCCACTTAACTACCTTTCATCTGCAGTGTTTTGTTTCTTTGGTTTTATTCTGCAGCTACAATTTTAATACCTGGATTAAGCTGCTGTTGCTTTTTCATTACTAATTTGCTCAACAGTTATGGGAATCAAGTGCATTTCTACACAAACAGGTAATTGGTTTTGCATACATTTGGTTAAATGACATTATTCCTGGCTGCTCCATGACTGTGTGCAGCATATGGATATATATTTTTCAAAGTAATGGCAAGCAAATCTATTCTGTGGTCACTGTTATACTTGCCCTTTCATGTGACTCTACTGCTGTAACTGTCCAACAGCATCAGTCACCATGGGCAACGCTCTCCTAAAATCACAAAAACCTCCCAGCACTGGAATTTGAGGATCAAAACCAATTAAAACCCCCTTCTGCTACATTTTATACAGTTACTGAGGAATTAAGTTTGGTTTATCAGCGTCTTTGAGAGTAGCGCGCTCCCACTCGCAACCCCGCACACTGAGCTCAGAGCAGGCAGCAGCACCCCGCGACTGCACCAGGGCAGCACCCAGCAAACTCACCTGATCAGCTCCGGCACACACTGGATGTTGGGGATTTGGGAGGTGAAAGGCGAGGCCACGGATGCCTCCTGCTCTGACAGTGATATCCCTGCGTGGGCCATTTTCAAAGCCTGAAATCCATGGGAGTCAGAAGATGGAGAGACATCCCTCCCACCCTGAGCAGTATGTTTACTGGCACTTCACAAGTTTTGCTCCAAGTGTCCTTTGTAACTGATCTTCCTCTATTCTGTGGCCCAGCTGATCTCATTTTCCAGCTATCTTCCCTTTCCTGGAGCTTAAATATTTCTTTTGTTCATTTAATCCCATTATACCTATTTACAATCCTTTGAACCACCCTGTATGCCATTTCCCACACTGGAGTTTGTGCATACCTCCCCTCTTAAACAGTCTGCTAAACTATTTAAATTACCATTTTATCCTCTTTCTATTTCCTTCAATCTCTTGTTCCTATTTTTTTTATTGCTCTGAGCTCCCTGTCCTTGTCACCTCTGGTTTAGTGCTCAGGTGTAGGCTATAGACAACTTTTACAAAGGAAGCTAATGCAGTATTATAAAATTATACCATGATAATAATATAACTATTATAAGTATGTTATGCTATATATAATTTACTAGATATAATATATGGTAGATTATAATAAAATAATAAGTAATAAAATAATTATTTTTATAGCTGAAACCCTCAAATTTACAATTGTGTAAGAAACATGTAAGAAAAAGGTCTCTTGGCCCTGTTTCTGGGGAAAAATACCAAAACAGTAATCCTCTGTTACTGGGTATATTAGTATAAAAAAATGCATGTAGATAGTATTTTACAGTGACATGCTGACAGAGTAGTACCCACGGGCTAACTTGGGAAATGCTGGTGACAAGTGGTGTTGGGCAGCCTCTCGTCACAGAACTCCTTGGGTTGAAAGAGAGGAAATTTAACAAGAATGGGAAACGAGCTCCTACGTACCCCGCAGTCATTGGCACCATCACCACACATACCCACGTAGTAACTGATGGAGGAAAAAGAAGGCAAACGCATAAGCTTTGCATGTAGTTGATCCTGTGGTGGAGCACCCACTGGCTTAGCACTTGCAGGTACATCACAGAGCAGGGACTCATGTTGGCCCTGGAGAAGGCAGTGGCTGTTTCCAGAGGGCAAGTTGCATACGGGGAGAGGATGGGGCAGAGTGCACCAGGCAAAATTAGGGTTAAGCATTGAAAGAGGCTGTAACGGGAAAGAGAACACCGCCACTTTATGCCAGACAGTGTTTTCCCTCTAGTACCAGGAGCCATGGAAAGGGAGCAGGGTGTGCATGTTTGCAGCAACTCCTGTGGCTACAGCTTGGCTTTTACTGGCATTTTCTCCTCAACTGTCTTTGTAGACCGAAGACACAGGAATTGCTGAAATAATACAGCAGTTCCCAAACCACCACATATGAGGTCCCCCTGAGAGGGCAGGGAACTTCATCCCCAGAGGAAGCACCTCATAACCAATAATTAACTGTTTCTTTTTTGGAAAGGTATCACATCTTGTTTATGCTTAGCAAGCAATATCCATAGTTAGCATGAGTCCTGTTTGGGGGAGGAAACATTCCTTGGAGGACCTGGAAGAGCATCTCTGGGGTTGAACTCCTAAGTATGTCAGGTTGTTTTCAGCTTTGCTAAAGCTGCAGCCAGGACAGCACCAGCAGCTGTGCAGGAGTTGC